GGGGGTTCTCTTCTTTTTCAAAGTTTTCGGAACAGTTTTACGGCCTTTACAACACAATGAGATCATAATATGGCCGCCTTTAAGGACAAGCGGGCTAACCCAGATTTCTGGGGTTTCCAGAAATCCATCTTGACCTACACATAAAACGGGCATTGCCCTACCTATGGGAGAAATTTGATTTCATTAATGTGTATATTTGTTTGGTTATACAGAAAACTTTCCTCTTGTCTTTAAAAAAAACTGAACAATGGGCAAAAACTTTACCTTCCTTAAAAGCGACCATACAAGAACCATTTTCAAAAAAGTTTTAGTATGGATTTTACAGCACATGTAACACAATTAGGTCATAAAAGTGCTGAAGATTAGAGGTGTTACAAGACAGTAACAAAAACAAAAAACTGAGGAGGAGGAGAGATAAGGAAGACACAGATGTCTGAAACAAAAGCAGGAGCAAACCACACAAGAGCGCCTGCCAACCACCCTCTCAAAATTTTTCGATTATATAGCCTAACACATCATGAATCAAGAACTCTTTTTACGAAAAATGCACAATCCAGACAATTTCAGAAAACCGAATATCCGTATAAATCTCATCTGGTCAATCGCACCACCTTTAACAAACTGACAAGATTTTTCCCTGTCTATGCCAGATACTCATTTCCACTTGAGTGAAGTGAGCAAAATTTGTGCAGAGCCTCTTTCCTATGGACACATGGTAGGGTCTGAGACTCAAGCCCCTGAATCCGCAACCTCACCATTACGAGTCCAGTAGCCTTACCACTTGACTACAGACAGCCCACCGTTTCAAATTCCAAACTGCTCACCATCCAACCAACCAAATACCCCAACCAATGAACCAACCAACCAAACACCCCAACAACCAACCAGTCAGGAGAACAGGCGACAGGTACACTCCCCCCATCAAAGACCATGTATTTCACCGTGTGCTCCAAACTAACCAACCAACCAACAAACTGTGAGAACAGACGATGGGCTCACTCACCCCATCAATGACCATGGTTCGTTTTCAAATTCAAAATCCAAATCACACACAATCCAACCAACCAACCAACCCAACAACCTACCAACCAACCACTCTAACAACCAGCCAGGACAACAAACATGGATATCACCATGAGCTCCAAACTACACACCATTCAAACTAACCAACCAACCATCCAACTAACCAACCAACCCAACCAACCAACCACCCATCCAACGGACCAATTGTGAGACACAGACGACAGGCTCACTCACCCCATCAATGACCATGGATCGTTTTCAAATTCAAAATCCAAACCACACACCATCCAACCAGCCATACATCCCAACAACCAACCAACCAACCATACACCCCAACAACCTACCAACCAACCAACCATACACCCCAACAACCTACCAATCAACCCAACAATCAACCAACCAACCAATGGACCATACACCTAAAAAACCTACCAACCAACCATTCAACCAATCAACCGACTAAACACCCAGCCAATCAACCAAACACCCCAACAACCTACCAACCAACCAACCATACACCCCAACAACCAACCAACCAATCAATAAACCAACCAGCCAACAGGTACACTCACCCCATCTATGACCATGGATTTCACCATGTGCTCCAAACTACACACCATCCAAATAACCAACCAACCAACCAACCAACCAAACACCCCAACAACCAACAAATCCAACAAACCAACCAGCCAACAGGCACACTCACCTCATCAATGACCATGGATTTAACCGTGTGCTCCATAGATCCAAACTACACACCAGCCAACCAACCAACCAAACACCCAGCCAACCAACCAAACACGCCAACAACCTACCACCCAACCAACAATACACCCCAACAACCAACCAACCAGCCCGGACAACCAGCCAACAGGCCCACTCACCCCATCAATGACCATGGATTTCACCGTGTGCTCCAAACGTTTCTTGAACCGGAACGACTGCAGGATGTCAATGATTCCCAGGTACAGCAACAGTCGCTCCCCCTTGGCGTTGCGGGCGGGGATACCTCCAGGACTGCTCGTTCGCACACGAGAAAACGGGCGGGTAGGGGGTGGGGTGGGGGTAGAAGGGAGGAAGAAAGAAAAGACACAAAAACGAAATATTAAAATTCATCGACACAGGTCGGGATTTCACAGCTCTGAGTGAGCCCGACCGACCGCTGAAACTTCAGGCTGATTGGTATGATCCATCACGCTGGGGGAATGTGAGAAGAAGGTAACACAGAGCTGTGTTAATAATTCATCATTTGGGTCTCTGAGTAAAGAGAAGCATAACCACACGATAACGACACATTTAGTGCGGGGAGAAGCAATTCATAAACACTGAAACAACAATGGGGGGG